AACATATGCATCTTGAGGAGATTTGCCCTTCTTCTTCAACTTAGGACAATCTTTCTTCCAGTGTCCCTTCTCATGGCAGAAAGCACACTCGTCTTTTTCAAGCTTGGCTTTAGAACGTGATCTTTCTCGTCCATTCTTCTTTTGGCTCTTCGACCAACCTCTTGCAACAAACGCTTCATCTTCTGCTGCTGCATCTTCGTCTATTGTTTGTTCTTCTTCCTCAACTCGTAGCTATACAGAGCAGAACTGATCACTACAAGAGTTATATCGTCCTTTTCATGAAGCATAGTAGTCTCTAAGTGCTCGAAGTCATCTGAAAGTGATGATAACAACATAAGATCCAATCTTCATCGCTGAATGTGACGTCCAAGTTCAACAAATCTGCAACCAATTGATTGAATGCAGTGACGTGGTCATTCATCGATGTGTCATGCCGGTACTCGTTTTAGCCATTGCATTTATTTTTCTTATTGTTATTCGAACCCATGATACAATCGCTTTTTCATGGGGAGCTTATTTTGGCCGCTTTTCTTCAGAAATTTATCCTCCAAAGCCTTCCACAAAGTGTGAGCAGAGTTCTCATTCTTGAATGCGTACTTCTGCTCCCTCGACAAACACGAACGAATTGTTCCACATGCTAAGCGGTTGATATTCTTCATGTCCTTCTCTTCAACGTTTATTGGCTTCTTTTCTTCAATCGCAATGTCGACGCCTCGCTGAAATATAATCCAGCACCTCGCCTTGCCACATGCCGAAATGACCAGTCCCGTCGAAAATCTCCACCGGGAGTCTGACGTTCGGCATCACCGTCCTTGCCGAAATGAATGCAGAGGATGATGCGCCATTGACCTCCTTGGACATCTCGAACCCGAATGTGGTGCTCGCCTCTTCAAATGAGCCTGAGACGAACCTTCGGCTCTGATACCACTTGTTGGGGTATCACAACAAGCGCAGCGGAGAAAAATACCCCTCCAACAAATATGACAAGCACTACTCCAAATGAAAATAAGTCAACACAAATAAATAAAAGATGAGAAATAAAAGGAACACAAAAATTGATAATGGAGTTCGGCGAAAATAGCCTACGTCTCCGGGCACAGCTAACCGCAATGTCAAATTTACTAAACTCACCAACAAAATACAACTAGGATTAAATAACCCACAAATTAGGATTTCCTTCTAAATATGAAAGAATAGAATAAGGTGCAATTGTAACCCAAAGGCAATTGACATATTTATACTAATAAGATCCTACACATCTTTGATATACATCCGATGTGGGACAAAACTTAATCAAAATCTAACAGAATATGTTTTACAAACATTGCTGATAATAAGTCCTCCAAGGCCACACCCTACATTTCACTTTAGACATAATAACATCTAAAAAGCATTTTATAAGATGCAAGTGCTTCTTGGTAATACTGTAATTGGAACAAATTTCAATGTCAAACACAGAGAGTCGGCTCTGGATTCACTGAAGGCCGCTCACGAGTCTTAAACGGTTCGGAACGGTGAAACAATTACATGAAGAAGCAATGAGTCGATATGTCCGAGTGGTTAAGGAGACAGACTTGAAATCTGTTGGGCTTCGCCCGCGCAGGTTCGAACCCTGCTGTCGACGTCTAAAGTTTTTTTTTTTTTTTTTACTTATTATTATAATTATTATTATTTTTTGTTATTATTTCTTAATATCATTTCATAGACGGCCAAATGGTAAAAGCAAACAAGTATAAAACGAGGTTAAGCGTTCAAAAAACGCAACTATATGCAATGACATCTGTACCCCTACGACCTCATCCCTATAAATTCTCTCCTTGCTCTCTGTATAAAGTCCTCCGCCCGCCGGCAGCGTGAAATTATTACTTCTAAAAAAAAAAAAAAATCGTAATATCCAATGTCGGCGATGGATCCAGAGGCTTTGTCCAAGGCTTTCGTTGCTCATTACTACACAACATTCGATCAGAACCGGGCAGGGCTTGCGAATCTGTACCAGGAGACGTCCATGCTCACCTTTGAGGGCCAGAAGTTCCAGGGCCCCCAGCAGATCACCGCTAAGCTAACCGGTTTGCCCTTCCAGCAGTGCCAGCATCACGTCTCCACCGTCGATTGCCAGCACTCGGGCCCTGCTGGTGGGATGCTTGTTTTCGTCTCCGGCAATCTTCAGATCGCCGGAGAGCAGCATCCCCTCAAGTTTAGCCAGGCAAGTTTTCATTTTTCTTTAAACCGTTAATTTTGCATGTGTCGAATTGTGATTATTCTCGATTATTGGATTTTTTTTCCTGCTGTGGATCTGGTTTCCCATAGATTTGACATTTCTGGTGCTTGAGTGTGAAGATTGGGGATTGTCGAGATTTTCTTGTTTCGAAATTGATTTTAGTTTGCATATCTAGTTTTGTTGCAAATCCTTGCACGAGAACGGGATTTAGGAATCAGATTGGTCTGTCCTAGCCTGGCCGGAGAAGGTAGATTGGAAAAGCTGAATAAATTGTTTGCAACCATACTCATGATAAATTGAAGTGCTAACTGCAACTAGCTGACATTCACTGGAGGCCTCAAGGTTTTCTTTCCAAATGCATTTGTGGAAGCTTGTTTTTGAGAAGCTAAATCAAAATGTAATTCTGAGAAAATTGTTGATCCTTCCATATGGACAGCTATTTTAGATTCCGTGGGTTAAAATCTCCATTGGCTGGTTAGGATTCAAACCTTCTATGCTGGAAACTGAGTTATGACTATTTTAAGTATAAATGTTAGAGAATTGGTCGTTTAACTGATTACTGCGTTCAGATGAAATTTGGGTCCTTATCAATCTAAGGTGGAAGAAATAGCTGTAGCATTTTTTGCTCTATGTGTAGAGTGAGGATATCTACTAATTTAGTGACAGCACTTTGATCTTGTGTGCACACCATCTTTTTGTAGGACTAGATCTTGAATGAAGATTGATTCGATAGGTAAATTATATTAGGGCGCAGCTTGGTGGTAAGACTTCACCTATGAACGATAGGTCATGGGTTTATGTGGGGAAGTGAGAACACTATTGATCCTCCTTTAAAAACAAATATTAGAGTATGGTTGGATCGAGGGATTTACATTTATTGAAGGATTTGAAATAGAAGTTGGAGGATTTTATTTGAAACAGAGGTTGGAAGGATTTCAAATATAGCAAGATAGATTTTTTAATTATTTTGAAGGATTCAAACCTAGTCATTTAAAATTCATGTTTATCCCACAGTTGACGACCACTGACCACGTGAACACACGAGTATGAATCTTCATTTAGATTCATCACCACTATGAGCCTACAACATCAATGTCAGCTAGACAATGGATTTATAATCATTTCCACAAATCAATTCAAAGAGTTTGAAAGTAGCTAATTTAAATTCCGAAGGAGCAAATTAAGATATTTCGAATCCTCAATCCAAACGTGGCCTTAGATTATTGTGGCGGTTATTAAGATTTGAAAATGAGCCGTCAGTTGTTAAGTTCACAAGAGTTCCTACTCTACAGAACAAGTTTTGTTTTTCTTTCCAAATTCGAAACATAATCTATATGAGAGTTCCTATCTCCTTTGTTTTTCTTTCCATATATTCTAAACACAATCTGTACAAGAGTTCTACTGATTAACTCAATAATGATGTTGTGTTTTGCTTTGCTTTGCTTGCAGATGTTCCATCTGATGCCTACTCCTCAGGGTGGCTATTATGTGTTCAATGACATCTTCCGGTTGAACTACGCATAAGAAGGGTGCAAATCTGGAAGTGAAATATCAGATTGGGGATCAATGGGTTTTTTTTTGTTTTTTTTTTTTTCAGTGT